CAGGCAACATTAACCACAGATAGATCATCTGGTAAAGAATAGGATCCATTGCGTTCACTATTCACATGAGTTCACTTTCAGTCCAGCGCTGTCTCGCGCTGTCTTGCTACTCGCTTGCCTTGCAAACGTAAGATGGAAATCTGAAATTCTTCACAAGAGCACAGTACCCCACTGTCATTTATCATTTGCTTCTGAAAGGTCGAATCACAAACACTAAATTTGGGACTGACATATTTAAAAGAGTTTACAAGAGGGCGTTAGAATAGGCGGAAACTTTCCAGAAGATGGCGTGCAATCAGTCGTTTACAGTCAAGCGAAACTATCTCCCAGGTATGTAAGAAAGTTCGGCATATGTGCAAAGATTAGTAATCGATAAACGGTCAAGTACGTGCTCTTCAGGGCACAATCAAGACTGGCACATCCGATACAAGGCTTCCATCATACAGTTGTGGGGTTCATTGGCAAGAAAGAACACTCAAAGCCATGTACGCCGGGTGACTGTGTCATAAGTACATAGTGTGCACAAAATGTTGAGTCACCAACTGTGAATTTAGGAAGCCCCAGTCCAACAAAAGCCCTGGAGGGCTGAGGAAAGTGATGATGCATCGGCGTGAAGTCATCGTCGGTTCATAAACGAAAAATCAACGTCACACTCTGTGGCATGTAGGGCTGAGATGAAAGAGGAGGAACACCCACCAGTACCTACTTTTGTTTGTATCATGCGTAATCCAACAGAACGGCGGAGTATGCAGCAAACTTTCCAGTTGTCCGCAGTTTCCAAGGCCTAAGACGGTCGGGTCGCAATGACCATACCAGAGTTCTCTAAGCTCTTTCCTAAGCCGGTGTAACCTAACGTGAATACCGCAGATGACCATCCGAGGAACCACGACTTCTGGAAAAATAAGTTCTGAATTTGAAAAATACGAAGCTACAAACTGTCACACGCAACGCCACTTTAGCTGTTTTGCTGACTATCACCCCATACAACCACCATTTATCTTTGGTGTTCACAACTACTTTGGACCTAAATCGGGAGAGTGAGATTCCGAATGACCTTGCCGAATGCCGGAACAATAACCACTTTGGATAGTACTCGGAACTGCAACGACAGCTCAGGATGGTTGTGTGCATACTTGAGATCATGAGCCTCCAACATTATTGGTGTGAATGTAGCCATATTTTGGGAGGGAAAAGGCCCTCAGATACGGGAAACCGCTCGAATACAATTAAAAAAGTAGCAATAGGCGGATGTCTACTAAGTTTGAACTAAGCGTAATGATTTAGAGGCTCATCCATTTATTTCCACCTCCACATTTAAGATTGCTAGGAGCATCGATCTGGAATCAAATGACACCGATATTGAACTTCGGGTGGCGCAAGGCGAAAAATCGAAGTTTCAGTCTGCGTTTGGTACGGTCATCTCTTGTCTTGGCAGCGCTGTGGGAACAGGGAATATCTGGCGTTTCCCAAGAATACTGGCAACGCAAAGCTATTACAGAGGTAACTAATTTCAGGAAACATTTTTTCAGATGGAAGCATCTAGTTCTTGTCAAGAGACGACTTATTGAGTGAACATGCTTTTGAGTTTTTTTCCGCATTGTTTAAATCATATTTACCCACCAACAAGATAAGTCGTATTAGTTGAGCGGGATCCCAGCAACTTTGAAGTTTTTTAAAAGACTTAGGTAATGGAGGGTCGATAGGGTCATCCTCAGAGAGTCCGAGCCATCATTTTAGAGAGATTTTTCAAATGGCCGGTTGAATTTTCGCCAAGAATTGTTTTGCTCTCGATACAAATGCTTCATTAGATCAAATGAATAGGTTGCCAGCCTGACCTACTTTTAGGACAGTGAGAGAACTACTCAATGAGATTCCTTAGGGTTTCCCATCTAGTGCTGGAGATCAGTCAGGATTTCTCATTTGTTGGGTATTGTGGATGGCGGATTGGTCAGAGGGAGCTGTCATCGATTTGAATCTGGAGCCTTGGTTTTCGGTCTAGACACTATGAGGAAATATTTTTCTTCGGTTTCGTCCAAACATTTCGTTAATCTATGTGTTGAAGGGTGCTAGGACGAATGATTTGAAGTTAGCTGAGCTCGATCTGGCACTTTAGATTCAGAGTTCACTGATGGCCACACACAGCCCCTTGCCATCTCGGCTAACCTAAAACACGCTTGTCTGCTCTACACCCTCACCTCATTTCGTGCTGAGATGCTTGGTGATATCCGCCGTTTCCGCCATCAGTTACTTACTGTGAATCTATTCATAACTTCAAAATAGAAGTGAGCGGTTTTCGTAATCACTCAATGCGTAACCTGATGAACTTTGTAGCTTGATTAACTACTTGTTTTCCCTCAGGAAAAAAGGAGTTTTGGTTTTGTACACAGCATTTTGCGATGTTTTGAACTGCAGTCCTTGGCGTCAAAATTATGCGGTACAAACAAAACTGTTTGAGTCACAGATAGAAAATTACTGTTGTCACACATGTATGGTAGGGTCAGTGCTTCATTACGTAAAATCATTCATGAATTTTTGATTGTGGCCTTTTAAACTCTGACTCAGAACCTTCGCTCCAAAACTCCGCATGTCCCGACCGCGCTATTATATTAACAGAAAACGTCTGCTAATGAAGTCCCTTATGTTATAACATCCACATTTGCGCATTTAGTTACCTGCGCAGCTGCTGCGTGAAAACAACTCCATTCCTTCACTCCTCTTCTGCTTACAGCTCTGCATTCTTTGTCGTTGCATTCTTAGTATCGGGATTTTTGTATATGCTTAGCTTGCGGTACATCAGAGGAAACTGGTCTATCCCATTTCCTGTGAACTGCACATTGCTCGTATTTCTAAACAAAGTTGACTTTCCTCGTACGTACTCTTATTATGAATTACTAACTGAAATATCCTCAGTGTTTTTCTCACGTCCAGGTGTATTTATGGCATACAAAGTCATACTTTTACTTCTAGAATGGATATTTCTCCGTGCATTATGGCCCACCTCGAGTTCGGTATAAACGTTTGCACTATTGCTAATTTCCGAACATATTCGTCCCTATCGGGTGGTGGAAACGCCTCATATTTTTTATCTTCTACTTAGGTTCGCTTGTGTTCTACATCGCGTGGGTACTGTTGCTGTTCTTGTGGTCAATGCCTGTTATCCTGGTGGAATATGCCATTGGTCGCTTTACAAAAAATTCGCCTCTTCTATCCTACCGGAAATTCATGGGAAATTATTTCGTCTGGCTCGGTGGTTGGATTGTGGTCACGGCGTTTTTTATAAGGCAAGCTAATTTGTATTATTTTGGAATGACGCGTTGCCGCGAACCAAAGTAGAACGTGTGCCTTTTTCTCTAATGCTGTCAGTTCCCTTACAAAAGTCGTCTGCCATTTGCGGAACAAATAATGCCAGTCAGATGGGTCTGTCCTCTGATGAATCATCAATGATATATGACAGTTTCTGAAAATAACTATCACCAAGTATGTCAAACAGTGATCTGGATATTGTCGGGCGGTCTTCAACTAACAATGCTACCCAGTTCCCGGGGCAGCCCGGAGAGAGGTAACTGGTCTCAATGGGTAATGCGATTTACGGGATGTGTTGAACATCCATCAGAATACACGTGCGCGATGTAAACCGCCACGGGAAGAAGACTGAAGAGTTAGAATGGAGGACAGGTCCAAAGCTATTAGTTGCCAAACGGATGGCCCATAACAGTCTATTCAAGTGGGTACCACTGAACAGTTGAGCCCCACAGTGGAAGAAAACTGGTATCTGGTGACCCTCGCCACTCATCAGACGCATCCTAGATACACGCATGTGGCAAACCAGTGCTGGCCATTATTCAGCCAGGATTGCATAACGATGGTCAAGGAAACACCCTTCTTGAACCATTGCATCTGGTAAACCAAGGATGCTAACGTAGATTCGGCGAGCTTAATTTATCCGCCAAAGTTTCGTATACTAATCCATTTGTTCAAATGAAAGCAAAAACCGACCAGAGTAGCTGCAGACTCCGCTAGTTGGGTCTGCAGGTCCAACGGTTCTGATGATAAACTTACCTGTCTCACGCTCCATCTACATGCTTTGAAGTTAGTAATTGCTGAATTGACAGAATTTAGTTTATATCATTTTCCAATGTCTTTCAGTTTTGTACTTCCGCTCCTCAATTCACGAGATCTACTTCAACATCTTTTAGGATTTTGGCTAAAGCATCCAGGAATCAAAGTCGCTGTTCTCTAGTGTTCTACTTGCTTTTATTCAACTGACAGTATAGATGGCGTTGAGGATTTCTGCTCCCGTCCTTTCACAAACATAAATCAGTTAAGATAGTTGTTTAAATGCGACTGCCCGTAGAACAGATATCATTTTAATGAAATGGGATTAGGGCAACCTGTATGCTTTTTACTGCACAACGAAGGGTACGTGCCGCATAATTAGGTGGCCATTCTCCGAATTTTTGCAAAGAAGATCTTCGGTCTTCTGCGTAGAGCAGTGTTGAAGAATCAAAATGTATTCCTTATGTTTTAATGACTTTTATATGTAAAGCGGATATACCAGAGTAAGAAAACCTGACTCGACGAACCCAAGGAATACATATGAAAGATTTTTGTGTGCCGATCTCTCCGATCCCACCATGGAAGTAAATCCTCGCGAAGCTATTAATTGGGGTCTGACCGTAAATTTCACAATAATAGTAAAGTAAAAGCACTTGAAACGCTTTACTTATGGTGAAAGTGACGGAAAACGAAAATAGAAATTATGCTGTTTCGTTATTTGTTGATTCGCAGCCCTTATTTTTCGGAAGATATTTGATTCAGACAACTGAATTTCTGATGCTTTGCTTTGTCTTTACAGCGCCTACTATTCCGTTATCATTGGCTGGTGCATATACTACTTCTGCATTTCTATCATATTCAAGGAACTACCGACCACAGAAAGAGCGGGTATGGAAATCTTCGACCAATTCTCACTGGCAAGTAATCCAGTTTGAACTGTAAAGATGGGAATTCCTGCTCACATATATGCAAAGCTGTTCTATTTGCCAACACAGAAAGTTTAAACAACCAGGGTGCTTCTCTGGGAGAGAGCTTTATGAAGCGAGACCACTCTACACAACTAGACCTTGAGCGTTACCCACAGGGTTTTCTACCGTTGTAGAGATGTCTCCCTTTTGAGGGTCCACAATTTTGTACCAACAGTTCTGTCTTAACCTTAGTTTTTGTTGTGGAGTCCTAAGAATATACCGCGAATTTGCTGTCATCTTATTTGTCAACTTGCCAGAGACCATAATAGTTCATCCGTACCAGCTCACCGCTCAATCGCTTTTATCGGCAAGCGCCAATTTTGAAATTCCCGAATTATTTAAAAGCTCGCTGAGGTCACTGAATTCAACAACAAACAAACCTAATTGACTGATCCAGGAAAATGAACCCACTATGTGTTTCATTCTGCTGTGGTGAAGTAGGGCTTGATCACTTGATCTTCATGTTTGAAGCTCCCACCGAATTTCATAACTACGTGTCTTCGTCTGCATATGCTTCCTAATTATCATGTGTGAAATCCAGATCCTTCACTTCAGGGTCATCCGTGGGGATCGTAGAATTAGGGGTCACTTGCCTGACTGTCTACCTGCAGACAGGTGGGTTAGATCGCAAAAAATATTTTGATGAGTGCACTTAGCCAGACAAAGCCGAATGGAACCGAATGTCAGTACCCATATCATGAAATAAGACTAAAGGAAACCTTTTGTTGAGTGGGTCATCAAGAACATTTTGGAATTCCGTTAAAGATGCTCAAGGAAACACACCTGGTTAGCTGCTGAGGACAACTGGAACGTTACTTAATGGAACAAGAGACATCTATGAGGAAAGAATAGCTTCAAAACTGCCGAACATATCCAAAGGTATTGCGTCAAATGGAAAGGGTAGCGTTAGCATCAGAAAAGTGTTGCTTGCGTCCTGACTTGAGTTTTACTCTTTATTGATGGTGTTGTCCCACTGGTTTGTATTTGTTCATTGCGTAATGTTTCTCAAACTGCTACTTATACCACGTGTTTATCCCAATTAGGAGGTGCCATCAATTTACGATTAGATGCGGTCGCCTCTAGACAATGCGTGCAAGTAATTTTTTGCGCGCGATCTATTAGCTAACATCTACCTGATCAGTCACATTCTTTTTGGTATCTTCGCTAGTCCAAATGCCATGTGAATCGCCTTGAACTCTTTCCGTTTGATTCATTTTTGATTGTTTAGCAAGGGTTCGGTAGTTGAAGCAATAGTAACTACCGGTTTGATTTTGAGTGGCAGTATTTAGTCCACGTGAAAGTCTCGATATACCCCATCAAGTAGTTGGATAAAAATTCCGAAACACAAATCTGGAACGCGAACACCAGTGAAGGTTTCTGGCATATTCTCACTTACTTAAACATAAACTCCTGTGTTCGACCATCTTCATATATGTATGCTGGTCCTCCTAAGGAACAGCTTATATCAGCTGGGGGAAGAAAATATTTAAGCGGATCTCCTAGCACACATGAACTTGCCTAGCAGAATCTGCTACATAGATGACCGGAATATCTGCTAGAGAATAAAATTTGGAGACGAAGTACTGACCGACGCAGCATGCACCATAATCTACCAAAGTAACCCTTGACTGCCACAATTTCTTGAACCTTGGATTAAACCACGAATGATGCTAGCTGTCTACTGACCTGCGCAACTGAACTAGACAGCTGATCCGTCAAAACTATCTGATGAACTTACAACTGGTATCTGTCAGTGCCACCAGTTAGTCCCTTGCATGACTTCCTAATGGGCCGGACTCTAATATCGTCTAGTTATCAAAGGGTTTTGAGGTCAATTATAGGGAATCTAGGTGAGACTTTGATAGATAAACTATGATGAGTTCAAGTGCACTCTTGGGGACTTACTTAACCCACCTGCCAATAAACTATAATGTAAAAGTGCGTAAACATAACGGAGAATGGGCTTCCTCGATAGCCCAGGTGATTCACCTCCTCAGTAAACGGAGGGTCGGCATTTTGAATTTGCCCCAAGAGTGTTTTCTGTTCAAGCTACTTCTACACGACTTCCTATTCTACTATCGTCGTAAATCTCCCCCACTTTCCAACAAATTTTGAGAAGCGCCCATAAGCCGAAAAAGTAATTTCGTGACTTCGTGTTCAATGTACCCCTCAAGTAATCTGACTTACAACGAGATATTCAGTTTACTGAATAGACATCTAAGCAGGAAAGATGTATCGTTTGGTGTAAAACACGATTGGTTAGCAGTATAGGTTTACGTATTGATGGAATTTTCCTTCGTAGTCCTTCTCCTGTGCCAAGGCAAATATTCTAGGAACTGGTCACGACTGTTGCATTGATAGGAGAGTGTCAATAGTGCATCTCTCAAGCATTAATATGTTCACTCGGTCAGAAGTACATCCATTGCACGCTGGTCGACTGGTAGTAATATGCTGGCCATGCATGCCAGCCTTGCATTGGATCTCACCACTGTCCCACCTTCTCATGCCCATCCAGTGCTTCCTCCCTTTGGTGTGTGAGAACAATGTGAACGTGCACTCTACAAATTCGGCAACCATCCAGAACCAAAAGCTAAACTACCTCCTTCGACGATTACTATCAAGGTCTCAAAGAAAAATGATTTTTCTGTGGACAAGAAACCACCTTGTATACACTTGTACAACCTAGACTCTTACAACACACCGACACAGACGAGGCCTAGAATTACAAAGATATTCTATGCGCTTCAATATTTTAGTGATCCTACGCGGATTCCGTTAACTTCGTTGATGGATCACTGCTCTTGCGCTCCGACAAAACACGTAACAGGGGTTTAGTTGATCAGTCTACCTTCATGAATCAAGCTCCCACTACATTCTTTTTATAAGCCACACCATACACTTGAAGTCAAGTCACCTCATTTCGATTTTAATTATAGGCTCTTTTGTTGTGTATATTGTGATGGTCATTTGAGTATATGGATGTGGAAAGATTTCTTCACTCACCTGAATTGATTCCAGTTTGCTTGTAGAAAATTTCCATCGGTGCCGTGAACCAGCTCAGATGCACGAAGAAATTCATTCTCATCAGAACCCATCAAGTTTGATTACAGGGAATGGTTCATGCAGCTATATGTAATGGGTGCTGACTGTATGATAGCACGTTCACCACCCATGAGTCACAACAGGTTTTCAGTCGTCTGAAATGTTTGGGGTGAACTCTAGCATTCCTGAGTCCATGACATGCATAGCTTCATAACCTCATTTATGTGCCTTTACTGTATCTTTACTGTCACTTCTCACCGGTGTTTCATACGCAGCAACCTCAGTGGCCTGTCACCTGTCAGATTGCGGCAATTCTGCTGACCGGAGCTTTCCTCTTTGGTGGAGTAAAATGGATCGAAAGAGCAAATCTGGTGCTCGTCCCAATTCTGTTAATAATCTTGATATTCACATTCGGGTGGTCACTAACACGTCCGCATGCTGAAGTCGGGATAAAATTTCTCTTCACACCGACTTGGGGTGAGTCCTAAATCTAATTAGTGTCGGTCTGATTGTACACTTCTGTGCATATCAAATTCGTTTGCATAGGGCACCCACCCGGGTTCCAGGTGAATCTCTTGTTTATGATGTTCTTACCAGTCCTGGATTGACGAAGAGTTTTCAGCAACCTGACGGGTAGTGTATCACGTCAAGTGTTAGTCTACTTATTAAGCTATTAAGCTGTTATTAAGCTTCAAAAGTTCATTCAATTGTGGAATCAACTACATTTGAGTCAGCAGGTCCAGAATATGGTGGTTTGGGATTCTGACCTCTAGGATATCGGTCTCGTGGAGTAGCACTTCTCTTGTTTTACCGGCGGCGTTTATTTTGCCGACAAACCAAAACTAAATTTCAAGATTAGTGTGGGCGTAAAAAAACATCTATCCTTAACCTTCTGGCACATGAGTTACATAGAGCGACTTTTCCGACAGTATGAATCCGGTCGGATGCAAATAAGGGAAAATCTGATTATATCCTAGGAGACTCGCTCAAACGAGGCTTGTATCTCCTTGAAGAGATTCGTAATGTCATCACGAAAGCAGCCTTTCTTGTGGAGTATTAAAGGCTTTCAAACTCGGGACCTAAGAACTAAAAATGGTCAGAATCAAATCACACCTCTCCCTTCAATATTTTTTGTGCTCAAAGTGCATTGCTCAAAATAAGACGCTGACATCATGGAGAGTGGATGTAATTGCACTGAAACATAGCATCATGTTTCATTTCACCATCATTCAGATGCTTTGCGCACGTGCACGCAGTTTACCCGAAAGGACGCCTTGGGTCCTGCCATTTACCGGACAAATCTTCTACCGACTCAGCTAACCATCCGGTAAGCCGGATGTCGATCGCTTACATCCACCACAAGGCCTGCCTTTCTGTTCACGTTATTCAGAGCTCGCCTATTTACTTGTGATCATATTGGATAAAATTAATTATCTATAAAAAAATACCTCATAATAATAGGAAGCACCCTATGGAATTGTGCTGGTCCAAACGATGAGGCTGATTAGAATTTCTACTTTGCAATATTTTCTTTTTACCTGAATTCTTCCTTGTTAGGAAAACAACCTCATAGAGGCCACTTGGAAAGTGCCCTCTGTTTTGGGGTTAGTTGTAAGTCGAATCCTGCTTTAGTATCGTATTTGATTGGGGCTAAAAGTATTCGCCATTTGAAAGCAAAACAATTACTATGAAGCGGCTAAATGCATACTCACATACCGATAATAGGATATTTGGACTGGTTTTGCATCTGTCTGTTTGCCTCTCATTGTTCATCTGAGTCGATGTTCCAGACAATAATGCATCGTTCATTCAATTAGTATGCGATGAGTAGTCAAAATTCTCTTCAGACCATTGATGGTTTCGTCGTTCTCTGGGGCTTGGTAGGGACTCGCGAAGGTGATGTACCAAACGTACACACGATTTGGCTTTTAACCAAGCCTCAGTCAGGACGGAAGTGTTAGTAGTCCTCCCTTGCGATGTTGGAAAATTCTTCCACAGTACTCAAAATGTCGTGTTCTATCTGAAACATCCTATGTTTTCCAGTTTTCATTATTTGATATTTCCTATTCCAATTGCAATTACTTGAAGTGATACCTAGACGTTGCTCCTAACATTGTTCATGAGGTGCTCAACTGATTAGAATCATGTTGTGTAAAATGCCGTTCAGTTCTCTTCATTGCTAAGGTTGATAAAAATGCATACCAATCTAAAAATTGATTGTTATCTACCTATTTCAGAAATTCAACTGATTAGAATCATGTTGTGTCAAATGCTGTTCAGTTCTCTTCATTGCTGAGATCGATAAAAAATGCATACCAGTCTATAAATTGATTGTTATCTACCTATTTCAGAAAGTTTCGCTCAACCAGGCCTATGGATAGCAGCCGCGAGTCAAAATGCATTCGACACGGGTGCTGGTCTCTCCGTGCTTTTCACCTACGCAACTTATATGGGTCGGTCAGCAAGCATAACCAAATACAGTCTGTTCATTCCAATTATGAACAATCTTGTAAGGTAGTTTCGACGGCCGTTTTCTACCAGAATGTCACTTTTGTCCCATGTTTGTCATTCAAAGAAAATGAATACTTGGGGATTCACGCGACAAATATCCCCTTAATCATAAGCGATTCACAAAACTGATAGTGTTTTCGTCTCCTAACTATGCTTATTGATTTCGCCCAAAGTTAGTTTTCATACCATACCGGTTTTGGAAAAAGATATAATGATAAAAGAGAATTTTTAACATATTGCTGTAGTGCCTCTTCTGAAGTTACGTCCCACCCCCCGCAGTGACTACCCTCAATACTACTCAGTTCTGATTGTCCCCGGGGTCTGTTTCTTAGTATTTCTTATGACCTTGGCAATGCTCACATCTGCCACGCCAAATCTTTGGTGACTGATTGCACTGTTTGTTTGTTTGAAGAATAAACGCGAAAATTTAACCACTTGTAGCTCTGTCACAGGGACCTTTTAAGGCCACAACACTCAATAGTAGTTTTTTTCGACTTTATGCATTGTCAGCCGATGTAAAATAGTCCCACTCTATGACATAACTTTTTGCGTTCTCTGGAATCACAAATGTATGCCTGAAAGTATCTACAATGACGTCTCTAATCTGCACTTTGACGCGTTTTTTCTCCTATTTATCGGTATTTAGCTTATACGCCTCAATAGCGATATTCTCCACGGTATTTTCGACCCTCATTGGTGAAGATGGAGCAATTACACGCTCCGCTATCTTGCAGATTATGCAGCAGTCTGGACCAGGAAGCACGGGTCTCACATTCACATGGTAGGACACTGCCCTTTTTACTCCTCACAAAAGTTTTATCCATGTATGCTGATAATTACATAAAGTGCTGATATATTTCTTACCATTCCTGCGCAGCGTCATTGTGATTCCGTTGAGATGCTGACCGAATCGAAGTTTATGACTCTTTGGAATTCCTCGCATTTCGCCAACTAATTTGCTTGGCAAGGTCAAAACTGTGTAGACAGAATCCTTCGTGTGATCTTGCTATTTTATTTTAGAATTAGTGGGTTGGAAATATTTGTTACTGAATTGCCCTTCAGAAACCACTTTAGCCATGTTTTTACAGATTTGGCACCGTCAAAGGCAATGGAACGCATAAAATCTTTAAGTTTTTGTAATGAGACTAGACCCCGTTGAACAACAACTTATTTTTATGCGGGTTTCTTAGTTTTTGGTCGATGCAATCTGGACGAAGGTCGACCCACCCTATCTCCGCCAATCATCAGCCTCAAAATGGCCGGAAAGCTAGTTTCTCTCTGTTCTCCAATAAAGATCGTCTAACGCAGGGTAATCTATTGTTGACATCTGCTTGCTTTGTCAATAGTAATATCAAAGGTTTGTCATACAAGCGTGTCTAGCATTATAACTATGAAAATTTTTAGAGCACATGCAAACCCTTTTCAGGCAAACAATATCGGTCTAGTAATCCGTCGTCTCATTGGAGCGAGGCTGCCAACTAATAAATAGTGTCCTCATACCGGCCATGTTGTGCCAGTTAAGAAGGCCTTAATTGTTATATTCGCGCGCAAGCCAGCTATAAGTAGAAGTGCAACCTTGAATTAGCTCCTTCAACAGTTTTTTTCGCGAAGTTTGACTGCATAACAACTGTCAGATGTTACTGCACATTTTTAACTGCCTTCTATTCTTGTGTATTCACACTGCCAATCCATGCTTTGTCAGGCAGAAAACCGTTCGCACATGTGGCTCGCAGTTCTTGAGCAGCTGTGGGCAGCTGTGGGCAGACCGAACTGGTCCCAATCTGTTCATTGTTAACGAACGTTTGCTGTTAAAAAAATACATTTGAACAGTAAGCTTTCTAGCCTTGCCCTGTAGTTAGGGTTGTCGAGCAGACTTGATTACAGGATTAGTTTGCTTAAGATAGGACGTGAGAAGAGCTTCAAGGGGTGACCATTCCTAGACAAGGTTGAGACCAATCAACAAGTGCCGACAATTTTGTGGTACGTTGATAGTACGACTTTAGAAAAAACGACATAATAATAATACCCGTATTTAAAACATGACGTTTGGTTTACGGCAAGATGCGCTATCGCAAATTGTAAAAAAACGGGACATCTGTTCTTTTTAATCTAATCTACTTAAATGAAATCTTTAGTGTTAAACAGATAAATAAATAAATAAATAAATAAATAGATAAATAAATAAATAAATAAATAAATACGTACATACATACATAACTAGTTCAAGCTGACTTCAGGCTTGTCTGCGTCACAGTCGACTCCATCTTCGTAAAAGCCATTTGCCAGTAGCAAAGTAAGTCGTTGTAATAGGAAATATTATCTGCAAAAAGTAATAACTTTATCACAGTCTCTGTTTCCGGAGGAATGCATAAATCATCGAACTTCACTAGAGGATTTGAGGTATGCTTCCATTGAATGACCTCTGGAAGATGAATTCCACTGTACACGTTTGGACAATGATACGCAGCACAGCATTACATTCCAACGTAAATAGAAATGGAGTGCCCGTGGTGTCGTATAATGGAGCCCAGGGGGCGACAAAATGAAAGTTTGTAAACCACTTACCCACGACAACATGATTGACCCTAAACAAAGCCACAACTAAAGTTATGTTTCATTTGATCGAAGCTGCTCCATGCCGGAAAGCCAAGAAGCACTGCACAGTTGTTTTATCCTTATTCATAATCATCAGCAATGTGCGTCTCACGAATCTCCACGGATTTAAACAGCAAAGCAATCATACTCCTGGTGGAAAAAGTCTGGTGGAGTAATTTCCTAGCATTACTGAGACCTCCCGATTGCCTTGATGGAGCTAAAAAGTCCGGACACGTACTCCGAACTCAATTGCCAGTCTCCTTTAGTCCATCAGAGACACGTCGTATCTTTGGAAAATTGCATCCCATTGTGCAAATACTGAGCGCCAAACTCTGTTCGTATTCGCACCACTTTCGTTTGAACGACCGTTCTGCTCTACATCAAAAGGAAGCACTGGAGTAGAGTTTCGCTCTCATTAAAGTCGTCAGCAGTGCATATCCAATGGGCCATGCAGGGATTTGAACCCCGGACATCGGACATGCGTAGCGAGCGTGTTATCACTACTCTACCAATACAAGTTGGACGCATCCGAATTTTCATGCCTGAACGGCTTGAGCGGTGTGATTGGTGTGTTGGCGGATTAGTGGTGAGGCACTCACCTCGCATTTTACGCGTCCGGGGTTCAAATCTCGGCACCACCATTGGATATAGGATTTGTCGAACTGGTGATTCTGTTTGGCTCCATTGGACTTAAAACTTCACGATACCCGAACCAACCGACTTGTGCCAATTGCCTGTTACCATACCTTTGACGCGAAACACAACTATTCAACGATCGTAGAAAGCGCTTAGGATTCCGTTGGTTGAAGAAGTTGGAAACGACGCTAAACTGAGATCGGTTTTGTTACCGGAGCATTTCAGAGCCAGGATAGGGACTTCCCGGTACCCTCAGGCTGCGCAAAGGTAAGTGTAGGCTATTAATCCCACGTGCAAATTCCTGAAGCGACACAAGTCCATTTATGAACGTATGAAACTAAGGCACTCTGAATGCACTTGGTAGTGTTAGACGTACAGATTGACCGTCGACGCGGAGCACTGAGTACGCAACGCTGCCGACCAGGTAGGGGCCTAACAGTTGACCTTACGGTGACTTAGTGGTTTGTACTGGCTGGTTCCCTATGCCTCATCTCCAGTCTTGCGATGGAGTGTTGCTATGGTCTTGCCCACATTAAGCTTTCACAAAATATGCTTGTGTGTACAAGCCCTTGTGTGAGCAAGCCCATCCCGTCTTCGAAACCTCTAGCCTGGGAGAAACTTTGGTAACGTTTTCAAACTAGACGGTGTTGCCACTATCCCAGTAAGGCTTTCCCTCTGAGGTCACTTTTTGGCACATTTACGCAGTACACATGTGCATTTTGAGTTGAGGGGCATTGCTCCGCAAGGTGTACTGTAAGGCAGCAGAATGAGCTATTAAATTATGCATGACTTTGGTTTCTTGTTTTCTATAGAGGAAAATGTCGATAGCTCATATAGCGTAGATGGTCGTTGGCTCATTCGCTGAGCTGGGCAATTTGACTGCAAATGTTTCATCACCAATCGAGGAGGCATCATTAGTGTGTTATTGGGTAGCGTAGTGGTGCGTAGCGGTGGGTTGATGGTTGTGCCTAATGGGTGTGTCTATTGCTTGGTTTGGTCCGGGTGAAACTGGTTGGGAAGGTGTCATTTACACAAGAAGGATGTGGAAACAGGACAAGAAAGATGTCCATACTTAATACTCGGTAAGTCCGTCCTGAGTTTTCCAGTAGCTGTGCTTTACATTGTAAATGAGAGAAAACTCAATATAATCCAACCATTTCATACACAATGGTCTGATGTTTTTGAGATCCCAGGAAAGTTTTTTGTCTTCACTCACTTGTCCTGCAGTATATACACCGGCTTTCGCCAAAAATTTTGTAAGTTGTTAATTTACGTTTGCGAAAATTAATACGTAGTAACCATGTTATTATGGTTCGTTGCAGGATTCCTGTATTGTTCTCGAATTTCGGCACGCTGGGACGAGTTCTGTGTGCGCTTTTTTTTCTGTGCCTTATATTTGCCGGTCTCAGTTCACTACTGGCGAACATCCAGGTGTACATATTGGCAGCTAAAGAGATAGGAGGTAAGTGTCTGTGTTCACAACAACATTGGTCACCGTTGTTTGACCTCCTTTGGGTAAACTTGTGAAATTTCGCTGGTGGTTCACACTCTGGTTGCTGTCGTGTCTTCTCTCATGAGCGGCTACGTCAGTCATGGTGTCGTGACTCTCAAGTTTACTGTGGCTTTAGAGTTTTCTAGACGCTAGACGGCTGTTAATACTGTAAAATTTGTTGCATTCCACAGGTTCTTTGACCAACAGATCACATATGTGGAGATAGGAATGTTCAGCGTGATGTAATATCGATATCATTGTCGTTCCAGTTTGATCATCACATAACTTTGACTGTGAATTTTGCAACTGCATTTTTCAGTACCGCATCGGATTGCAGTAACTAGCAGCCTGCTTGCCTGTTTTGCCGTCGGTCTACCATCAGCCATCAAGCTGGAGATTCTAGAAAACCAGGTAAGGTTTGACCATCCTTGAAGAATTGGTTGTGTTTTCTCGGCTTCGTGTATGATCAACCACCTCCCAGTGAATCACGGCTGTGGACGCTTCATTACTGTCAAAGCCTGGTTGGAATCTAAAACACGCTAACCTGCGAGGCAATTTTAAGAGTAAGATGGGTTATGGCTGGAACACGAAGGACAACTGAAAATCTGCCAGAAGTAAAAAATAAATGAAGCCCCTTATCTTTGGCAATAGTAAAACAAGCAATCTGGTGTTGGACGTTAAAATCTAACTTAAACAGTCTTAAAATGATTGAACATGCCATATGTACCACATAAGTGCGTGTTTGTGATGGATGAAAGTTGCACTACTCACCTTTTCCTCCTGAGATCGAATTCACAATTTTCTTGCGCTCGAAAGCATCTACATAATTGTAGTCTGGTAGGAGAACTCCCTGTTTCCTACCTTCAACTGAGACGGTTTCGCGCTGCTACTATCTTGATTTTGTTGTCAATTCAAATGCCAATTCATGCCGTACGGTAATGTTCTGCACGGAGCATACACTGAGAATAAACAAGCAAATGACAGAGCGGGCAAAACGCTAGGGAGTCTGGAATACACTCATTGAATTGTGTGATCTGATAACCTGGATTTTGTGTGTGTATCTGTGGTCCCGTTTTCCCATTAAAAAATCACTCCCTTACCTGAACCACTAATAATTTCTGGGAAGAACTGTTCCATTGTCACTATCAGTCTCTCGTCAGTTTCTAACCAAGTATAATCAGATATTTTATTCTTGCAAACGTTGGTTTCCAATGACCATCAGGCAGCCACTGTAATTAGAGCCACCAAAAATTCTTCTTGTTCCTTGGATCCATTTTATTAGCATGTTTAGAATCGCAGCGTGCAGATCGAAACACTTCAACACTTATTTCTTAGTTTTTTTACTGATCTTTTCAAATTCTGCTATACTCTGCACCTTTGGTCTCTTATGTAAGTTAATGCACTCGCCCCAAGCAGTCCTCCCATTATATTCCCATATACCATCCCTCTTGTTTCTAATCTTTTGTATTGGCGGTAATGACATTCCCTCTACTCATACGACATTTATACCGACCAAGTACACAGTAATTATATAGGCCTGAGAATATTCGGTATTTGGTGAGGGCGGGATTGCGTGGAAATAGCAGTGCACCATAATAGAAACGCGCCCACCAGCTCTCTTCGTTCCCTGGTGGTCAATTCTAGCCTCTATGTGTGGTCGAAGGCTGATGGAACACAAACCGAAATATGAAGTGCAAGGCATCTAGTTGAACAGAAGCCATACACGAGGGATGCAAGTTAGCCTCCCGTGAAGAATAATTTGACGTGCAACTGGGTGTACTTCGCAAACCTGGTAACTCATTCACCTAGCCTAGGGAAACTTTTTTGTCAAAAGTGAAACGTTCCCAGCAGCAAATTCGCCTCTTGTTTACCAGATCTCAGTGAAATGAAAAGATTTTCATACATCACATTATATTTTCAAATTTATTTTTCGCACAATGAACGAATTACTACTCATCATCTACGGAACACAGGACAACACTTGGGGTTATGCCCTCATTGTTTCTGGATTGATACTAACTATTTTGGTTGTTGCATACAATCCACTTCGATTCCTTCGGGTCGTCATAAATGGATTCGGTACAAGTGATTGGACGGTCCCCGTTGTATGGGTGGCGATCATCACGTAAGTTCTCCCGGTCACTTTCATCTAAACTTCGATTTCAACACAGTTTTTTGAACAGAGAATGGTTGGTTTGTAAGACATGTTATTCGCGACATTAACTTGCACCCTCTTGGAGGAGTGAGGTGCCAAGTGAACTGAGGAGATGAAAGTGTACGAGCGATTATAGGGACTCTCACCACCGAAGTAAAGCAAGTCGATGATTGTAGCAACGTAGACCCTAGATCCATTCCGGAATACAGGACTCTTAATGGAAAGAGGCAGTGATACACGCTTGCCTGGGGGTCTTACTTAAGTGACTTAAAAGTCTTTTCATACCGTCCACAATATCTTGGCAATATCTTGTCTAAGTTTATATCGAAAGATTGACAGCACGCGCCGCACGACCCTATGACTTGTCCTCTAAGGATGTCGGGACTCTGATTAATAGCAGCAGAGGGAAATTAGGTGACAGTTATTTTGCAGTCAAACTATAATGGTCTTCCAACAACTTACCATATTTTTTGTGCTATACCTCGTCAATAACCCATCCAATTTCGAATTAAGAACGGGGCTTTCCAGATCCTATAAATCAAAGTGTCACCATAAACACTATCTGATGGAAACCGTTCAGTGAGACACAAGGGTGAGGCATTGCACACTACGTTGAAAGCACATTGAATAAACGACGAGGAGTGTGCAAAGACTAAAAATGCCAACTGTGAGTTTGGTTTACTTATTCACGAACGCCTAAGCCTCGAACCTACGGTCCACGGGCAGATTCCAACAGAATCTCTGATGTCTCGAAACATACTACCAAGAACGAGGCGTTTTTCATGCTTTCTTTTAAGTATATTAACGCAAGCCACTCTTAATATGCTTGTGCAAAAATTGTCCCCCAAACAGTGCCACAACCTGCACGGCTATCATGTACATAGTGTGGAAAGTTCACGCTCCGGGAAAAGATACCATTCCCTGAAATGGTTCCGTATATTCCTCGAAATTTTGTCGTGCGAACAAAAATTACAGCGTAACCAGTGGCGTTAATTTTCCCTGAATCTCAACCGACTGGACCAAGCAGGCATCCTTGTGCAAAGCAAGAACATTGTTTTTTAGTCTGGAAAACACAGTCACTGTGTACAAGTCCGGAATGCTGTTGCAAGGTCTTGAAATATTGGATGTATGACTTCAGATGGAAGTCTTCAACTCTTCAAATTTAAATGAAATGTACCTACACCCACAACTTTACTTTGGTGTTTACTGAAATGAATCAGTTATCCAGCTTGTGACACTTAGTTTAGTGGAAATTGAATACTTAACCCTGAAGAGCACTAGTTTAGCGCTGCTAACGCCAAAACAACTGGCCACTTCTGACCGAAGTCGATTTTCGAAAGAAAGTGTCTCCAAAGCCATCACATACATGCATAGATCATTTCTCCTTGACATTTCTCCATGTCATGTCGATGATGATGATGATGATGTCTGTCTTAATGTTTGGTTCAGCGTTCCCATTATAGACCACTATAGAACAATTAATATATTTCTTGAGGCGAGTCTGTTACAACTTTCAATCAACACCTACTTGACTCCACTGTCCTAACACGTGTCGATGATGATGATGATGATGTGATGTCTGTCGTTTGGTTCAGCGTTCCCATTATAGACCACTATAGAACAATTAATATATTTCTTGAGGCGAGTCTGTTACAACTTTCAATCAACACCTACTTGACTCCACTGTCCTAACACGCCTTGAGGACGATTGGACACCTGAACACTAATTTCCCACTTAAATCCCCACGGTAATTTGGCGTTTTCCTCATTTATTTGGGTACCATGTGGAAATATCTCAATGCGTAATATCTAGTGCTGGTTCTCACTGATTTGCCACCATACCACAGTTGGCTGGTGGCAATGCAAGCCCTACTTGTTTTTTTGCTGATTTTCCTCTTGGTTGACATCGGCATAAGTGCGGCATTCGACTACGAAGAAACCGCTTGTACTTCATCTATTGTTTGTAAGCGTCTATTTTATCAATAGGGGTCAACCAGCAAGTCCTTTCCGGAGACCAGTCAGTCTTTAGCATTAAGTCTTGGGGTCGGTCTGAGAAAAACACAGGTGCGGTCTAATTCGACCCTAATTTTGATCACTTGACATTGTACAAATGGATTTGGATAATAGTTCTCAAGTTTACAGATGGAACACCCTCGGGTACTGTACCCCGGAGCACCATCCCGATGGTGTCAGTACTGTTCTGCTACTTTTACCAGTACTAGGCCCAAAGTCCTGAAAATCTGTTGGTAGTTAGGCTTCAGTAATCACATCACTTTTTTGCGTTCTAAATAGGGATTGTGATCTCTGTCAGAGAAAAGTATCGACCAGTGGCGATACGTCTTCAGTTGCTTTGTTTGGATTAGTCATTGCAATTCAGATGGCAGGACAAATTTTACATGCACAATTTGCGTGGTCGCTTGGGTTCTTCGTGTTATCGTGATGCGCCACCACGGATACGCTAGACCTATAAAACAGCACCTTCCACTATAATGTGACAGGCAAACAGCTGTTCGAATACAAACACAAAAACACGAGTTGCCTTTCAATCAACTGGATAATTTATGGGACCGATTGGGTAGTCATCGTTCCATCTGTGAGCGACCCCTTGGAGGAATGAGACAAGCAAGGCCGCGAAATCCGGACTGAACATGAAGACAACCCTCTCTAGTCAATCTGTCGTAAGTGTTAGTCATACTCACGGGCGGACACCGAGCAATGATCAAGTTGACTAGTCGTGGGAGAACCCATGGATTGGTTACCTAACTGCCTTAAAACCCTATCGAGTTACTCACTTCACTTAACGAAGCTTTTGTGTCAAAAGCGAAAAGTTGCCCAACAATAAATCCACCGATCGCCCACGAAACCCCTTTGAAACGAGGAGTAGCTCTTCTCCATCATTCCCTATGGCTGTAACCTATACACTTCAGAATAAAATGGTACCCATTGTCAACGTTTTCAGAGTGATGTGGACTTGGCTGCTACACCGATGAAATACGGCATGTGGTAATCATGAAGATGCTAACTCGGTGCATTGTACTACTACAAAGTAAACATTTCCTTCTGGACCACACAGTATTCGGCCACCTGTTCACTTTCTGTGTTCAAGCCGTAAGGTATAAGCTAGATCAACTGAATGAGCTTACTCCATTACTATTTATTTTGTCCTCTGAGTGATATTTCAAGAGAAACATCTTACAATAGAAAAACTAGGTATACAATTAAACAGACGAACTACAAATAAAGAATTAAACTAGGATGATAATATCCCATTGAAATCACGGAATACTACTGGTAGGTGTATGGATAGTATATTCTTACCTATTCTTTTCGTCATCAGAATAGTCGCACGGAAACTACCTTGCCATCAACTGAGTTCTTTTAACTAATTTGGAAAGTAGTGTTTGTACTCAGGGCTTCAGCATGTCGGCAATAAGCATTAGAGGTTGATTATTGCTGAATATATCAGTAGGGAAGACCCAACAGTGAATTTCAGTAGATATTATATGCGAAATCTCCGTCTTTATCTTTCAGTGTGGTTGTGCCTGGCATCTGTATACTCCTGATAGTCTGGTGGATATACGACTATGTACGTGACACTGAACGTTGGTACGATGTGACGTGGACTTCTGCGACGTCTACACTGATTGAGGTAAGTAGCCAGAAATTGTTCTACGCCGGATTTTTCTGGATTTTAGCACTTCTTAGACTACGCTCTTTGTTCAGTGATAATTTGTAGTTCACTGGGAATAACTGAGAGATATGATTCGAACGATATCACTCCTTCGCACAAGTTTTAAACGATGGAGTTCAAGGTAAAATGCCGGGCGGTTCCCGGACACCATATAAAATTCATACCGAAACAGCTGACTGATTATTAGAGGGGTCCAGTACAGTGCGTACATGCGTACAGGAATCTGTAGCGACCACTTACAAGTCTTCCATAAAAAATCGCACGTTTAATCTTGTGAGTGAGTAGGCATTTTCAATGAATCACTGTACAGGTTATAACAGGGAACGCAGCATGATTTTGCATGTCATAAGATCAGAGCGGTTAATGACGCCTTTTCGCTTCCCCGTATCCCAGTAAACTAAATCGTAACAAACAGTACCACCATATTTTAGGCGGCCAAAAAATAGATGAACTATATTCAGCAAAAGTTTCATGTACTAAAAAACCTCAGGGTAGCATCCGTTTTCGAATTCAATAAAACGTCTGGAAGATACTTGGGGAATATTGATTCGTGAAAGAACTATTCACTCTGCCAACCAAGAGCTCATTCAAGTGAATATCAGCGTTTTCCGTTGTACGATATTACTGAATATGAGAATTTTCGTTTGTTTTCAAAATAGGACCTTCAAATTATTACGGGGTTTTGGTTTGTTAGACTAAACAGGTTAAGTCTGTGTATGAAGCAAGGTCAGAAATTAATAACAGATTCTACGGTAGCTGATAGACAGCGAAATTTTCGAGTGGAGTAGCGGTGGAAAACAATATAAACGACGTTCTTCTTTGTATTGACATGGCCTAAATCTATGCACTTTTTAGACAGCAGCTTGCTGACGATTTGGTTGTTCCAGGGACCAGTTGAACGACCGCTTTTTCTAGCGAAAGTCCGTTTACTCACAAGCATCACGTGTGCTTGGCTTAGGACCACGAAGTAAACGGTTCTTTAGATGCTTATCCCAAGTAAGGTTGGCTAGACCACCTCACCACAGTGAGGTTGATCACCATCAGTCTTGTAGCCAGATAAAAAACTGAAGTTCACAAATGACACCTCAATATCAGTGCAAACGTTTTGAGTTCTTTATACTCGTTGTACATTGTGCATCTTGAGGACACCTTCGCACATCATTACTTGGCTTAACCATTTTTCTCAAAATGGACTCTTTTGACATAGCGGATGCGACAATCCGGCAAATTAATGACAGAGTTTATGTTTTTAGGCCACGCGTTGCTAAACTGGATGAAACTAGCTGGAAATACTAAGCGAAACTCAGCGCTTCCTAGAGTTTGTTGAGAACTGAAAGGTTGAGGGGAACATGGGTCAAAAGACGGTCCAACTTCATTTAGAAAAGATCAAGTGTTTCATAGTGGACGGATTAAACAGTACGAAGCTCACAACGGAATGAGAACTTCTCATGGAGGGTGAACAATATGGTTAAAATAGTGAAGTTTGGTTATCCATTTTAGCAGAAAATAATACAACAGGGATGCCGGCATGAACTCAGTAGTATAATGCTCCCAGAGCATTGACGATGTTCAGAATTTTCGGACCATGAACGTGGGATTTCAGAGCACATCAATGAGTGCCTCCGAATCTCTTCCATGAGGTCAACTACTGAGTCTATTAAATTGCCAATAAATGGATGACATGCTGAATGCAGCACATCGAACCCACATTATCGTGTGATCGACAAGTTTTAAATGAAGATTTTACTTTGAAACTGACATCCCCTAATGCTGGAAACCTGAGCATCAGTGTCCAGTCGTTTCATTCTTGTTAAGAGTCGTCATAAGTGAAAAGAACCGAAAATAAAACCAAAACTTCAATTCTAAAGTATAGACAGCTGTCCAGCGATGGGATTATCATGGAACAAATGTTGATCCGCCATCCATCCGGAAAATTGGCTCACTCTAACATAATACCTGCATCCTAGTGAGGATGTACAACCAAGCTTCACTTTTTCCCACTTATGTCTTGTAGGGAACACTACAAAGTACACGATTGGTTGTCCCCTAGGATGCATGTGAATTAAACAAGACTAAAGAGGTTGACACATCCAAATCGGTTTCATAATAGCTCGAAAAATTAAAGGCGTTTTGGAGGACACTTGTGGAAAGGCGGCTTTTGACGGCTAATTTCCCGCCACCATCTTTTTTAGATTCATTCTTTTTTGCTTTCATTCCATCTGTGTAGATTATCAAGCAGATGGCTGGCATCTAATGTGACCAAACTGGCAGCTTGGGGAGATTTTACAGTAATCTAATAAGTTTTCCCTGACGAAATCAACTCATTTGTAACGATTTTTTCTTTCTTCAACTTGCAGTGGCTGGTTGTGCTCACTGCGATCGTGATAATAAATCTAGTGGTCGTTCGTGTCAAACGCGATTTGTATGTCAAAACGAAAAGATTCGGAGCTGACCCTTATGATCCGGAAACCTACACGAAAGAATCAGTTGTAGTGGGTGGCAATATTTGGGCCGTTGGAGATAGTAATTACTCTGTGCGGACACTCTAAGAACCCATATAATAACAAAATGCACTTTATTTTTGTATCCGCTAATCTTCTCCGTATGAAACGTACCCCCCTCATGGCTTCTAAATTCTTTCACGTGATTTGTACCTAAATGTTAACCCTGTATAATTCTTCCTATCTAGACTGTAAGGAAAGCTTGTCTTCACTTCCTGTCCCTTGCTTGTTTTGTCAACATTCAATAAATCGATATATCCCTTCTCTCCTCTTCGCTAGTCTTCACCATCCAATCAATACCGAACCAGCCTTATACCGAACAACAAAAACCACTGTGCATCTATTCCTACGCTTGTGCCTTCCTATCTACCGGAAGTCCACTGTTAATTACAAATACCATGATTTTTACTTCAGGCTTGCAATACTATAATGCACAAGTCATTTCCCTCGAATTTCTCGGAAACCCTATAATGCGGGATAGTGGAGTTCAGCGTGCCGACGGTCAAGTTTATTAATAACAAGAACGAATATTCGACTTGCAACTCGCAATCAATTAAGTCCATTCATTGCAAGTAATTTCTGTTGGATATTGCGGAAGATCGTAAATACCATGGGCGGAGGAACAAACAGACCTACTAGTCAACAAATATGGTACTACTTACATATATTGAAAAAACACTTGTATCACGTATGTCTCCTGTTGAGTGCTTCTCAGTCTCAAGGATGAGTACGACTGTACTCACCGGATTCATGCATTTGATGTGAAATCATCGGTTATCACGTGAAAAAAACAGTGCAGAGCGCGCGAATCTGCACTGTTTTGAGTTGAACAACTCCAAATGTTAGTCTGCGAAATCCTATGACACTTGGCATACCGACCGCTCATCCGTGCTGTAACTTACTACACAATCATTTTATAACACAATAAGCAGCCGTTTTCATAGCGTCCGAGAAGCCTACAACAATTAAATCATGGGAGTATTAAGGACATTCTGTAGTCCGAGAGTAAATGAAGCTGAACTGATGGAAAGACGCACGGTATGAGCAAAAACCCTACCACCGCATTCCGAATACTCACCGAATGTCCGAGCATTGGGCTCAGTCTTGGCCTACTACCCTGGAACCAAATGCCACACCTGATTTTCGTACATGAACCGTCTAGAGGGGACGGTTCTGTTAGTTTATCACAAGGCTACTATCGCTGTCCACTGGACTTCGAACACAATGCCTGCTGCCCAAAAAAATCATGTCAACTAAGGGCAACTGTGCGAGACGAGCCTGACCTGCTACATCCTGCTAACATAGGTAGGCGAAGCCGTCACGTGTTTATTGGTGTATCCAACCGTAGACGAATCACAAAGGGATGGTGTCGCTGATCCAGGTGAATCTGTTCAAACAAGGGAATACCCATAACGTTTTCCATCCCAAAAACAGTAGTGTGGCTTTTTGGAAGCATCGTAAACAAAACATTTATCTGGGTTGCAGGTTAGTCTCCCTTCAAACCTAATATATATGGGAATGAGTGCATTTGTCGAAATCCGTACGATTTGGATTCAAGTAGGACATTAGGTTGACGGAAAACCGGGGACCACACCTTCTTGATGAGCCCCAAAGAGGGAAAAGCTGGCCGTGAACCGTTGAAGAATTTTCAGCAACCCTTCATGTGGTTTAGTTGAGGGACTTCTTTTGCCTGCGGAAATTGTTTAAACGGAAGTATAAGTCCACTGGAAAGTGATGGAATGCACAGGTCTGTATATGGTAATTCATTGGTCACACTACCGAACAATCAAGTGCATCAAGGGTGATTACTTTATTACGACTGAATCACGCACAGCAAATAGTTGCCACATTCTTCCACAAAATCTACTCAAAAAACCCAAGCTGTTTTCTTAATTCACTGGCAGAAGGTAAATCTTGATATATATATATATATATATATGCTACTTGTGTACCATTCTCTGAGATGATTTTGTATTGAAGTGTTTATCCGTGCCATTTTGTATGACCATTGTGTTTAATCCGTGTACATGGCATCGGCATTCATAAATCAATAAGTCACTATTGATCCGTATGAACACAAGTTTCAGACTGACATTCCCACAATTTTCTGCACTTTCCACGCATTTTCCGTACTGTTACACTTGAGATACTTCGATATTTGTTTATTTTTGCTCAATCAACATACTGTCCACTATGTATAATATGTTCACACATATATAATTCACATAATGAATCCATACTTTGGAGCGTACATCGGAGAGCCCAGTACATCCCAGCTTCTGCATTAGGATTTCTGCAATGAATTCTGAAAATGGCATCCCCATTGGTCCTCTCCTTTCTTCACTAAGCATCACAGCGTGAATAGAATCGAGTGTGTGGAGCTAGCGAACGTATGGAGAGCGGTCTTAGATAAGCCGAGTTGACACGTGACAGTGTGGTTGTCAATCCACTTAGGATCATTAGAAAAAACCAAGGGGTAGAGGTGGAAACCCCAACCGACCAAAAGTTACAGCATCTCTCTTACACAACTTTCTTAGCACTTAGGATCAAAAAACCAAGGGGTAGAGGTGGAAACCCCAACCGACCAAAAGTTACAGCATCTCTCTTACACAACTTTCTTAGCACTACACTACCCACACAGACTGACAGAAGGTTCAAACGAAGTTCAAGAGGAGCCATCAAATGAACCGAACCAGAAGAACTAGACCCTAGGCAGGACCCAAACACATGTAGGTTTCCC